TCCTTCCTTCCTTCTTTCTTTCTTTCTTTCTTTCTTTCTTTCTTTCTTTCTTTCTTTCTTTCTTTCTTTCTTTCTTTCTTTCTCTCTGGTTCTGGGGATTGAACCCAGGTCCTAGGCACATGCTAGGCAAGCACTATACCACTGAGTTAGAGCATCAGACCAATGGTGAATTTTGATAGTGTTATCTCTGAGTACTGATTGTCCTTGGGTGTGTGTGTGTGTGTGTGTGTGTGTGTATAGTTTTCAAGGAGAGAGCAGAGTGTGAATGTTGTCAGAATCAACATGGAGTCATTTATGTCCAACTCTTAACAAAATGGAGTGTGGAGGTCATTGTGTTAATTCATTTTCTGTTGGTATAACATATATGTAATCCCAGCACTAGGGAGGCTGAGGCAGGAGGATTGCCATGAGTTCAAGGCCAGCCAGAACTACATAGTGAGACCTTGTCTCAAAAAACAAACAACAGAATACCAAAGACTGGGAAATCTATAGGAAAAAGAGGTTTATTTGGCTCATGGTTCTGAAGGCTGGAAAGTTCAAGGCTGAGAAGCAGCATCTGGTGAAGGCCTTCTTGCTGGTGCAGGGCTCTCTGCTGAATCTGAAATCAATGCAGGCATCACATGGGGAAAGGAGTGCATACCGGATACCGAGCCGACCAGCTTTTTTAAGACACCTACTCTGGAGATAATCCATTAACCCATTAACTATGACCTCATCGCCTCTTAACAGTTCTGGTCTGGCCTCTTAATACTTCACAGTGGGGATTAGATTTCAGCATTCAAGGCCGTCTTCACTCCTATTTGCCTGATGACAGATAGACTATCACAAAAGACTCCACCAAAACCATAGTCTTCCACAAAAGTCAGCAAATCTACACAAAGATCAGTTGCCTTGCACAAAGGCCCCCCCGCCATGACCTGTGCCAGCTGCTGATTGCTCAACCTTGTGCTGATGACACCCTTGTTATTGAGGTTTCTAGTGAGGATAACCACTTCAAAACCAGCTATGTAACTTCCTCATTTTACCTTTAAAAACCCTTGCCTTCCTTCACCCTCCTGGGCAAACACATGGAGCCTCATTGCATTGTGGTTCCCTGCACACTGACTAAGCTCTTTTCTTTAGAAAGCTTAGGCGGAGACTCAGCAAACAGATGGGACTTGGAGAGTTCCAACTTACCTGGGCTGACTGCAGAGGGCCTGCTGGTGCTATGGAGGTTGACAAAATAATGATCTCCAGAGATGTCCAGACCATAATCCCCAGAAATTGTAAATACATTTTTATCAGGCTGGAAGTATTTTACACATGTGATGATGTGTGGATGTTGGGGGATGGATATTGAGCCTGAATTATCCAGGTGAGCTCAGCGAAACCCTGCCGTCTGTGTGAGAGAGTGTAAGAGGGTCATCATGCACAGTGTGATGACCAAAGGGAGAGGAAGAACCGGAGGAGGAGGAGGAGGAAGAGGAGGAAGAGGAGGAGGAGGTGGCAGAAAAGGAGCAGGAGGTATCACCAGTGAGTTGAGGGTTCTTTTGCTTGAGGCAGATAGAAATCACGAATCAGCAAAGTACAGCTCTGCTAGTGACCGGGGTTTGAGCACCAGTGGCCCTCAGCCCTTAGTGTTACAGCTCTGGGATTTGAGGCTGCCCATAAACCCCAGATGCCTGTGGCCAACACTGCCACCCCCTACCCCCCTCAACTCTGCTGGTTGCTGAACTCTGCCAATTGCTGGCCTTGGATCTTCATCAGCTGATGGTCTATGGAGCTCTTCAAGGCTAACAGGCCCTAGGGTTTATAGCTCTTTTCAAGTAACTCTTCTATCTATACCACTTGGGATAATCTCAAATAGATTACAGAGCCTTCTGAATCCACACTACCTGAAAAATAAATCCCTACCATCAGAGCAAGTCTTTACCTGAAAAGGGCCTGTGCTGCAGCTCCAGGGTCACTAACCAGAGGAAGCCCTCCTAAACCAACCAGAGAAGTGTGAGGAGAATGCTATTTATATAGCAGATACAGGCCTGTGATTGGCTCGCATTCAAGACTGCTGATTGGTCCAATTTTGAACCGTGATTAGTCTATGTGTAAGCCTGCTGATTGGTCTGATTGGTCTAAACTCAAACCTTCTGATCTAAGCCTACTGATTGGTCCAAGTTTAATTCTACTGCTTGGTTCAAATTCAAGCCTACTGCAGTCAGTGTAGATACTTTCTAGAGTGAGAGTGGGTGTCTAGGACATCTGCATCTGTCACAGCAGCAGTTCAGTGGAGCAAGGGAAAGAGGGTACCATGGCTGACAGGGGAGCTGCACCTGTCAGAGCAGCCTGGAGTGGCTGAGAAGTAACCCGAGGGGTGTTGGGAGGACACTGAGGCACTCTGTTACCAATCCCTCCTCCAGGGATGGTGCAGGAGCAAATGAAAGCAAGGGGGATGGGTGTCACAGCTGTTGACCAAGCCACATCCCCCTCTGGCCATCACAGGAGAAAGGGGAGA